TGATTGATTTTTGACATTCAAAAACTCCCTCTTTCCTCCCTTCTTCTTTTATCTTTTTCCTGTCCCTTCTTTATTCCTCTCACTTGTTCTCCCTTTACTTTTTTTTCCCCCACTTTTCAGTTCTTTTTAGTTCTTTTTATTCGGGTCTTAAATCACTCGAACCGCAACTGTCGTCTCGCACGCTCCTCTACAAGTTCTGTTGGTGCCATACTTCGCTCCCGCACTGGTGGGGATGTATCTCGCATGTAATCTTCATCATCATATCCATTGTTGTTATTACTATTATTATTATTATTATTATTATTATTATTATTATTATTCATAATGGTGTTGATAGTCGTGTTGTTGTGATTACTAGGCAATGGACGGGGTGGTAATAAACCCAGAGTACTCGCTGTGCCTGTGCCCTCTATTGTAATACGTTCTGCCAACGCCTTTACACGCAGCAGTTGTTGTTGTTGTATATATACATTGTCCATTGTGTATTCCTGCATGTAGAGAGGCACTGGGGAGTCGACTACATCGCGGCAGGAAGAGTCTCCCCCGGCGGTGGAGGACATCTGCCAATTCAGCGGCGTCATCCCCGCGGCAGTGCACCCCGGCGTGTTCATCCCAACGGCACTGCCGGCAGCCAAACTGAAGGAGGAGGAGCGGGAAATTGGACGGGAACAACTGCCAGAGCGCCGTCCATCACTGTTAGACTCCATCCCATCTTCTCCTCTTTCCTCTCCATACATGGGAAGAGTCCCGGACCGCAGATAATATCCCTCCTGTTCCTCTTCTTCCTCTTCTTGTTGGGGCTGGGCGGTTGGGAGCGGGGAGGTTGTGCGGGACTCCCACGCCCCACCCGCGGCGGCGGAGATGTGCGTGGCGTGTGAGCCGCGACGACTGCCGGCGAGTGAACGCGGCGGAAACGCACCGGCGGCAAATGAACACGACGACAGGAACGACGATGAGGAGACCATGGAATCACGCCGCGAGAGGGATGGACTGCGGACGGTGGGAGTTAAGTTTTCAGTCTCCATCACACCCTCTCCGTTATCGTATATCTGCATAGATAGATAAATAGATAGAGAGATGGAGAGAGATAGAGAGAGAGAGAGAGAGATGAAGAGAAAAAGAGAGGAGAAATAAATAATATTTATATATTTATGCGTGTATCTATTCGGGAATCCGGAGGCCTGTGTTGTGCCAAGAATGGGGTGGGGATGAGGTTTCCTCCTTGTGTGTATGCGTGTGGAGGTAAAAGTATGTTCAGCTAGATGATTGTTTCTTTTTTTTTTTTTTTTTTACGT